CATAACTTATAACGTGATAACAATATGCGAGAGCACAGGTGTGTTGGCTCAACGTTCAGGTATTTTACTCGTGTAAGTGTAAAGTGTTTGTCAATGTCTGGCGTAACACACTTTACGAATGGCTCCATTCAAACCTTCCGTTGCAGTGATGAGTGAAGTTTGAAAATATGATTTGTCGGCCTCTCATTGGCTAAGCGTTTAAAACGCAACGCAATCCTCAATATTGACTGTATTTATGGTATAATCGCGTAATTGAGTCGACGTATGACTCGTTCACTACTGGGCTATGCATTGCGTTGAATGGCATTCAATAGTGAATGCATTGGAAAACTCTATAACTGTTTATTCAAACACTCATTGAAAACGAGTCATACGTTTTAAACGCAATGTTTTTTATTTCTGTTGATTTGATTATTGAATTCACTTCTTATTAATCAATACATTCTTAATGTGTTTTCAATGGAAATGTGTTTCAAACCATTCAATTGAATGCATGTCTGCAATGAATACGAGATTTCCATTCAATCAATACAAACAAAACTCGTTATTAATTATGTTTTAATTCACTTTTAATTACAATAACTGTTATTATTATTATGTGAACAACAGTTTGTAATAATCGTTGTAATCGCTAATCGTTTGTAAACATAACTTATAACGTGATAACAATATGCGAGAGCACAGGTGTGTTGGCTCAACGTTCAGGTATTTTACTCGTGTAAGTGTAAAGTGTTTGTCAATGTCTGGCGTAACACACTTTACGAATGGCTCCAAACCTTCCGTTGCAGTGATGAGTGAAGTTTGAAAATATGATTTGTCGGCCACTCATTGGCTAAGCGTTTAAAACGCAACGCAATCCTCAATATTGACTGTATTTACGGTATAAACTTGTATTGAGTCGACGTATGACTCGTCCACTACTGGGCTATGCATTGCGTTGAATGGCATTCAATAGTGAATGCATTGGAAAACTCTATAAATTTAACTGTTTATTCAAACACTCATTGAAAACGAGTCATACGTTTTAAACGCAATGTTTTTTATTTCTGTTGATTTGATGATTGAATTCACTTCTTATTAATCAATACATTCTTTAATGTGTTTTCAATGGAAATGTGTTTCAAACCATTCAATTGAATGCATGTCTGCAATGAATACGAGATTTGCATTCAATCAATACAAACAAAACTCGTTATTAATTATGTTTTAATTCACTTTTAATTACAATAACTGTTATTATTATTATGTGAACAACAGTTTGTAATAATCGTTGTAATCGCTAATCGTTTGTAATATTTAACTAATAATTAACTAAATCTGTGATACGTTTTGCGCCGAAGACATGGCTTACAGGAGAATGACATCACAATCGGCGGTCATTTGTCTGCTAATCGTTGGCCACTATATGTCCGCCAATTCGTCGCCGAGTCCTTCGCCATCCGAGCCGTCGGTTGAGCCACAAGTGGTGACCAACGCGTCCGACGATAACGCCGTCCCCAACACTGGCGCCGACTCTTCGTCCGTACCGTCGATGCCTATCACCGGATCAGCTGACGAGTTGTCAAAAACGGCAAACACGTCGTCGGGTTCTGACGGCCAGAATGGCGGCGACCACTCGGCGCCAGTGGTGAACGATAGCAAACAGCCGGTCATTGACCCGAACCGGTTGCCAGACATACCGGTGGTTGAACTGCCGTCTGTGCCGACACCCGCGCCGCCAAATGAGATGCTGTCGTTCGAGGAATGGCGTAAGAAGATCGCAGAAAAGGCTGTTCACCAACAGCTCCGACAACAACAACAACAACAGCAGCAACAGAACGGACAGCTGTCGGCCGGCGTTAAGGCAACCGGCGCTCAGGGCGGGGGCGGTGGCCAACAGTTGGGAAGCCAGGCCTCGGGCGCCACCGGAACGGGACAGACATCACCCGAAGTGGTGAACGGAGGCGTCCCTCTGAAGTCTAAACCCATGGCCTCACCGAAGAGGACACGCAATTTTGCGTCACACGAATGCGGCGCTAAGATTGTGGACAGCAATCCTGAATCCGAGTCTGTTCTCAGGTTTGCATTGATTTTATTTATTTGAATACCATTTGAATGTATGATTAAATGCTTTTAAATGATAAATATTTGCGACAATGAAAATGCTTTAATGAAAATGACATCTGTTTTCACACCATAAACAGGATTTATTTGCACATTCATTTAGTCTCTCTCTCTCTCTCTCTCTCTCTCTCTCTCTCTTTCATGTGATTTGCAAAACAATTATAATATTAATGTAATTGTTGTGTATTTAAAGCATGAATATTTAAAATGCATATAAAAGTGCATTTAAACACATTTAATTTATGTACCGAATTCTTCCACTTTAGCCGCCATGGCGTGTTATGTCAGGGGTCTCTGACTCGGGTAGACTTTAAAATAGCATGGTGTGTTATCTAGGTAGTACGCCACCACCTCTAAAAAATTGAGATATTGAGTAATAAAATAATTAATTTCTTTATAACTATTTATAAAAGTGCTTAAAATTAAATTTATTTCTAATCTATTTGTCTCATGTATTTCTTTCACTCCCTTTACTCAACACACGAGTGGTTTATAACTATGTATTGAATGAACGGATCACTGACTCCACTGTTTCTTTTGATTCACTTTTTTCTGCATCCGATTCTCACATGACATTGACTTTTGGCTTATGTTTGAAATCAAATATATCGCATAGTTTTGCACTAATTTTTTGTCTAATTGAATAGCAATTATAGGGCAAAGTATTGCCCGTATCTTATCGTTGGATGACATGTATGGGTACAGAGGAGGTGCCGCCCGACCTTTGATTCTTGCATTTTGATGATTATATTAAACTTTTTTTGTCATGTTTTTTGAGAGTATTTTTAACCACTTTTTGACAGTTATTTTTAAATAGTTGACCCAATTTTGAGACAGTTTTTTATTTTTGACATTCAATTAGTTTTATGCCCATTCAGTCTACTGTATAATGTACTTAATTATAGCAAGTGCTGTGTGTTTGCCGTACACTATAGCGTGATAACTGCCAATCGATTTGAGATAACGATCCAATTGTTTGCGCAAAAAAAACAAATGGTATTTCGTTGAAGAATTTTAATGACCAGAATATGTGTCAACTAATTGTTTATATGGATCGACAAGACCTGTCACTCTCTATCCCCCCATACATTACACACCTGTATTTAGCCTATAGTTTATGGCAATATTAATGTTTGATGTATTGATTTGAATGCAGAATATTGAACGAACAAACGGACGAATATATGCTAAACCCGTGCAAAGCCAAGATCTGGTTTGTGGTGGAGTTGTGCGAAACAGTGCAGCCCAACAATATTAATGTTTGATGTATTGATTTGAATGCAGAATATTGAACGAACAAACGGACGAATATATGCTAAACCCGTGCAAAGCCAAGATCTGGTTTGTGGTGGAGTTGTGCGAAACAGTGCAGCCCAACCACATAGAGTTGGCCAACTTTGAGCTCTACTCGTCGGTGCCCAAGGAGTTCAACATACAGGCCAGCGATCACTACCCGACCCGCGACTGGTCCTCATTAGGCATGTGTTTTAGTTTAATATTGTTTATTTGGTGTATTAATTGATCGCAATTTTTAGGCACATTTCAAGCGCAAGACGAGCGGTCAGAGCAACGGTTTGGCCTCCAAATGTGCCCCAAACACTTCAAGCACTTCTAACTTGACAACAGAGTGATGCCCAGGCTTGTGAAGACAGGCAACTCACAACACGCTCACAAGCCGTGAAGCGAGAAGCTTCTCCACCTCGCGTAGCTGTGTCTCGACGCCAATCAGTTGACGGCCGCCGGTGTCGAGGAAGAAGAGTCGCCCATCGCTGAAGAGATGTTGGGCGGCGAGGAGTCGGCGCACAATCTGTTTGGCACCGCCAGAGACGCCGTGTTTAATATTGTCCGCAAAGCGGCGCAGGCTCTCAATGGTTGGTCACAACTGTCCGCTTGTTTTGTTGATTAAAATGTTAACACATTTTCGCTCCATTTTAATAGGCAATAGTGACGAAGTTTTGGTCACGACTATCAATGAGACGAATATAACGCAAATGAAACGTAGCCAGCTGCTAACGCATGTTTACTGACGGTAAGCCAACATAGGTTTTCACCTATTTATAGACGTTTTGACGTGGTTTTGATGCTTGGTAAGTTTGACAACGGACATAAATTTCCGCAACAAACGCCAACAGTTGTACTCTTTGATGATTAGCCAGTATTTGTCGGTAAATAATGCGTCTAATTCTCCCTAGCCGTCGTGACCAGACAAAGTTACGTTGCGGCTTGTCTGTTTACGACCAGAGTGGCCGTTATTACTGAGCTAATTGCAACTTAGGTCAGAACACCGGCTCTTAAAACCAAGTTAGCATGGCTGGAAGCCTATAATGGATGACTGGGCGGCCGCACCCGTCTCTAATGCCATTGATAGCAGCGTTCCCGCGTTTAATAGCGCCTCAATTGTGGACACTGGGGCCACGTTTGCCCGATCGACCCCTTCATCCACATCCGTAATGGCCAGTCATGTTCTCTCCGGCGATAGCAATGATGTACAACAACTGTCTACCGATGATACGGCCAAAGGAGAGCCAACTGTACAAACCCTTTCCAATGACTCGTCAAGCAGTGAATCCTCGAAGTCTCCGCCCGTCACCGCCGAAGACATTTTGCCCATTGTTTCCACTAATAACGAGACAAACGGTGGGAGCGATGAATCAGTTAATAATATTACGACTGGTGAGGGATCGGTGGCCACCAGTGGTACGCAAATTAATGGTCAACAAGTAGTGGCAACCAATGGACAGAACACCGCACCAGTGAATGGACAGCCATTGAACGGCAATAATAACGGAAACGGCTATATAAGTAACGGCGCGACTATCGGCCAAACCAAGGAGTCGGTGGTCATACGACTGTCCAATCGGATTAAAGCACTCGAAGTGAATCTGTCGTTGAGTTCGCAATATTTGGAACAATTGAGTCAAAGGTATCGCAAACAGATGGAGGAAATGCAGAAGGCGTTCAATATCACCATCAGTAAACTCAATGACACCAATATTAGAGCTGCCGAAAGAGTAAGCCATCTCTCTCTCTCTCTCTCTCTCTCTCTCAGTATACATACTGTATAAGATGTTTCGCACACATAGTGTCCAGAAGTGGTGGCATTTCGATCCTTTCGTAAACCGGAAAACCCGTTAATAACAGAGTCTGTCTTTGAGTCCTGAATTCCATACATAGAGACAACAGGTTTGGTCTCGTTTTGCGGTATTTTAATCTCAAATTCCCAAAACTTGTCTCTCGAAAACATACGACTCTTAAGGACTGGACCCGGAGTCCATACTTTGCGTATTTTCACGCCATTGTATTTGCCGTCTTTATCAGCTATGAAACCACACATCGATTGGTCCGCGCATTCAATTGCGGACATCAGTGATATTATCATCAAAATTGCGATCATTTTCTACATATAATTAATGGTTTCCAAAAAGCAAACTAACATTTGGTTTAATTGTAATGAAAGTAATTAATTATTTTAATGGTAACGGAATTAACAACTTTTTTGTTTAAATTTAAACAATTAGTGTACGAATAGTAAATCTCGCGTAACAATAAATTCATTAAAATATATAATTATAAAAGTAAACGCCGAATAAAATAAGACTAAAATATTTTTAATTGTTGTAAAACTGTTGAAAAGTGATACAAGTATTGATTAAATATAAAAATAAATTTCTAATTAAAAATAGACTGAATTTTTCAGCTTATGATTGTTTATACAAAATTACAGAAAACATAATTCATTTATAATATTATACAATTGAAACACATTCAAATCGTTGGGTAAATTATTTTCATTTATATTGTATTGTATTTAATTAATTATAACAACAAACTAGTTTAAGTTTTTTTTTCATTTTTATATAATATTTAAAGATATTGAAAATAAAAGTGATTTACAGGAAGATTGACTAACTGTTCTCAACATGATGATAATTTATACATTAATTGTAAATGTTATTTATTTTTAATAAATACAAATTGCCTTGATAATTAAAAATTTATCATTGTTAAAATATTTTTTTATAAGCCATATAATGTAGTTTAAGTCAATTTTTTATTTACTTTATTAATCTGAAAGTAACTGAAATTCAGTGAGAAAATTATTTACAATTTTTACCTGGTAACTTTCCATAAATTATCTTATATTGTAGCAAAGATATAGCACATGTAAATCTGATAATAATAAATAACTTGTGGTAAATGCTTAGCAAATAATAATTGACTAACAATCTAGTTATTATTAATTATTAACATAAATTATTCTATTAGCCTAATGTTTAAAAAATAAATAGAAATAACCGCCAATCATCAACAAATGACATGGTAAATTATTTAAACAAAAATAATTAAATTATTGCAAAAATATTTTGTAATTTTTATAACTACAATTTAGAGATGAAATTTAGTACTTTGACTACAGTTACTGTACAGTTATTGTATGTAAAATAATTTACTTTATAAACTATTTATATGGCAATCGGCAAATAATTCAAAGAGATAAATTTTTATCAGATTTTCACTATTGGTATAAAATAGTCAAAACGTTATACAATAGACTAATTTTATAAATAGTTGTGAAAAACACTAAATTAATTGTTTTGTTAAAATAAGTTTTAATTTTCTATAGAAACTCGGTATTTGTGTATTAATGAGCATGGTGCTTATGGCTTTTGTTGTACACTGTGTTAACCTAGACTTCAAAAACAAATTGAACAAGAAATTATACGAGTTCAACTGCACATATTCATTGACCAAGGGCGAATATTTTAGCAATTTTTCCTACGGGTACGAAACATCCAGATTTTTCTACTACGACAACAAAACAGCATCGAGTAATTTAACAACAATTTATCATAATAATTAACTTAATTATTTTACCAACATCATTCATTTTTAACATAATATCTTCATGTCCTAGGTATAACCAAAATAAAGGGCGTGGACGATGTAAAACAATTGAAACCATCTACCGGTGATATAACAATTGGCAAATGGACCAAGGGCAATTATTCGTGTACAGTGGGCACATACAACAAAACACACACTATACTAACCACACGTTTTGTTGGCATAAACTCCTGCCATAATATTGCAAACAATGTGTTTATGACCACAGTTTTGGTCGCCCTTTCATCTGCTCTCGTATTTAAGTCATTATAATTTTATTTTAATAATTTTTATTATAAAGGAAATGAATTGAATTACAGAATTTAATTTATAGTTGACATTTATTTCTTGTATTAATATTCTAGCTTATCATTATTTACACACAAAAAATATATCTATATTAAATAAATTAATATACATTTATGTATATGAAATTAAAGTAAATTGTTATTGGGTTACAATTTAAAAATAATTAAATATTAATTTATAATTCAATGTGTTTTAAAATGTAATTCACACAAAAGGCTGATCATTGCAAACATATATAAAAGTAAAATAAATTCATAAAAATGAAATAAATGTTTATTAAATACAAACACTAAATCCGCTGACAATACATAACTTTTATCGTATTTTAAAGTTTTTGGATTGTATTTCAACATAATCTCCGCAAACCAGTGGTCCATAAGTCCGGCCACATGTGTATATGAAATGCTAAATACAAACCAATAAAACAATTAATAAAACAAACAAATAATTTTAAAAAAACACACACAAAAAAGTCATACATTTTATTAAACTTGGATTTATAGGGAAAATTTCTACGCAAACCAATGGCCGAAATATGTATGGCTAGAGTGGACTCTTGGGTCTCCGGCGGGACGTAATGTGTGGTAATATTGTGAGCCTTTAGGCCATATATCAGGTGCTTTCGAGTGGATATATACGAGTACTTTCCTTCACTGTCCCGTAGTGTATGGAAAGGCCGGGGGACAAAAGTCGGTACTATATGTCTACCAATTCTCTGAGTAAGCTCATTTGAATAATTTATTAACAATTTATGTTGGTAAGTTCCATTACGTACAATCACATTTATTTGACCACTAGTGTACGCCACTGTTAACTTGTCCATACTGTCTATACTAGTGTCCAGTAATACCGTGTTAAACGAGAACAAACAGCCGCTATAGTAACATGATAAAATCATGCTCGCCATTAACCAAGCACTTAATACTATCCTGTTATAAACTTTACGATAAATATACGTGGTGAATGATTGCTTAAGCGCTGTCTGTACAATTGTCCATAAATATATGCTTGGTACTTTGGTCAATTTACTCGATATCGACGAGTTAATAATCAGAAATATAATTGACATCAATATTGATAGCCAAACAAAGTGGTCAAAAGGTGTGAATAAATTAATAAATTGTTTGCTTTCAGGTGTGGGAGACGTGAATGCGATTGTGTCCACAAATGTCGGGTTTGTATAATCAATGCCTTGAAAACGTTTGGACGTCATTGCCAGGAGTCCGGCGCCCATATCTGCTCTCTATAGAAAATACATTAATTATTAAGCATAATCATTAATTAGTATAATAATAATACTATTATGTATTTTACTCCATTATTTAACAATCCAATTAATCCAGACCATGATTTGTTTGCCAATTTTGCCCCATAATTATAATTGCAATTATAGACGTTAAATGTAATATTTAAACGAGCTTGAAACAATTGCAAAAGCCTGTACTCTATGCCATCGGCAATGATATTGCGGTGAATGTAGATAAACGGCGGAAACTATTAATAAATTATTGTAAAAAGTTAAATTATTTTCATAAATTAAAATTTTTATTTTACTTTACATGGTTTACTACTAATCTCAATGTTTGGTTATTCAAATTAACCATGTTTAAATTGCTCAGTTATATAAGTTATTATATTTAGTTTTGAGTTACAGTTGAAATTATATAAATTGCGAAATAAATCTTATATTATCAAACAAATTATTTTAAATATGATTATTATAAACTTTTATAAATATTTAAATAGGGACAATCTAATCAATAATAAGTGGTGTTTTATGGTATTAAAATAACATGTACTAAAAAGTTTTCTATTAATTATTTAGTCAAAAAAGATTTATATTTAAATATAAATTCTAAGATAATATATTATTTATAAACTTAATAATAAAGAAGCTAAATAATTAATTTATTACATGTGATTAAGCATTATTTTATACCAAATTAACATTAAAATAAAAATATTCTAATGATTGATCTTGGTACAAGGTATTTGATCCAACAATAATATAATTCTGCAAAAAAATACTTCACTTTTTACTTATTAGAGCATAATTACAATGTTATTAAACTGTAAACTTATTTATTTATTAAATCATGTGCACATGTGTACCTGGATTTTAATTGGCAAGGTACAATAAATTCATTGTTATTGTTTTACTAATAATTTATGATAATTTATATGAGAAAGCTATTTATAAGATAGTGAGTAGATTGATAGGAATTACAAGCAGAATAAATACATGGTCATACTTGCAAAATTCAATAAACTATTATTTAATTAAAACATTTTATCCGGATAATAGATTAAAGGTTAGAAACTGTGTAACAGTTCTATGAACTATTATTATCATTATAAATCATAACTTTAATTAAACTATAAATAACAATCTAATTATTGTTATCTAATTAAATAACAATTAAAAAATTTTGAATTTTTCTATTTATAAATAACCAACCAAATATAATTATCAAATTAGCTTATAACATTGTTAGTACACAAATTAGTTTAACAATTATCCAGTTTAAAGGCATCGCATATAAACAGTAGTCATTTTAAGATAATTTCTTATTCAATATAATTTTGATAATGTTTACTATGGGAACAATAATTTTTACTTCATATCAATTCCTATTGTACCAATGTTATATACTATTGTATTACAATAGATAAATGATTTAGCAATATAATGTTGGTACATTATTTGGTGTATATTTTGTTTAATAAACTATAAATTTAAACTTTAATTAAGCATGATAATTTATTATATTAAATTATTTATTATTATAAATATAGCATTACTTGTAGAATGTGCCATGGTCAAGTTTCGCATTACAAACTCAACAGATAGTCCACCAAATTTAAATATTAAATGCAAACCTGTATTAAAAGTAAATGAATTTTTTGAGGCTTTGATTATAACAAAGGATGACATTGTGTTGTATTATATCAACAAAACAACTGTTAATCGTATGTAAATTGTTACTAAAATATAACATATTTATTTAATCTCTCTCTCTCTCTCTCTCTCTCTCTCAATTTACATCTAACAGAGTACAAGTGATGACAATGCCACCACCAGTAATTCTCCTGACCAAGATGATGATTTTGGGCACTTTTCACTCTCTCTCTCTCTCTCTCTCTCTCAGAACCATTAAGTGATGATTTAGTGGACACGGAAGGGACAGTTATAAACGATGTTGGTTTTATTACAATAATTCCGATGCATGTAATTTCTCGGCAATACTGGTACCCTATGTCCGGCGTCTACACGTGTCAATTGGATTATACATATACGGGACATGCGTTTACACATATAAGCAAATTACAATTACATTTAACTGGAGCTGATTATAATCCACCTACAAATATGTACTCGGTTAAAACTCAATCTTTAGTCTCATATTGTTTGTTATATTTTATACTCTACATGCATAATAATAATAACTAAATTTGTTTAATTGAGCAATAATCATGATTTTATATGTAAATAATTATATTTGAAACATATTTGTTAATTATTATATTTTTCAAAAAGATATTTTTATGTAATATTTTTTATTTTTTTATTTTTTATTTAATTCATATTAATAGTTATTAAATGAGTCATTTAAAATGACAAAATATTTACAAGTATAACTGAATTGCTTTTCTTATTTACTTATCATTTTAACAAATAATTTATACTTATATTGTACTAAACTTACTAAATTAACAAGTGAGTATTTGTTAGTTAACTCATTTCTACATAAACTCAATAAACTCATAATAATTGACAATAAAAATGGTGAGACATTTCATTGGTATTTACTGATTATACTGATAATCACTTTAATGCTAACCAACGGAATAATGCTTACAACAATAAATCAGATAATTACCAACCTGAATGATTCATCCCATGGTTACTTTACCAACACCTTAATGTATAAATAATACTAATTAGTATAGTTATTTAAAAACAATCTACCCAAAACACAAACAAACATTTTAAATAACTAACATGTTTCTAGTATCATTTACAGAATATTTAGCATGCTTGCTAATTTTAATAATATGTTACGTAGATTGTGCCAGGGTAGATGTGTTTAGTGTTAATGTCTCGATTAAATCTACGCCAGAATTGGATATTACATGTTATTATGAGATGGAAGACAACGAAGACTTTAAAGGACTGACCATTAAATTAAACGGAACTTCTGTTTACACATGGGATCAAAGATCTGGTAAAAGTATGTATCGTATTCAATATTAACTAAATAAAAGCTACAATAATTTTAGAACATTTTGGTTAAAATTATAATGCAACTTTTATATTTTTAGTTGTTATGATCTCGATTAGCGCTATTTAGATTTTTGCTTATATCTTTATTTATTTTAATTATTTATTATCAATTAATTATCAATAATTTATTTATAAACAAATTTATATTTGTAAAGTTATTTAAATTTAATATTCGTAATTTTAGATATAGCTTGTTATAACATTTTTACATTTCCATTAAGTATTTTTTAACATGCGTTAAATAAAGTAATCAAGGGAAAATAATTCTAACTAACATCCTATTGCTAATTACGATCATCAATTAATTATAATTTTGTTTTCTTATAGAACCTGAACTAAACAATGCTCTTCGATTGAACATGGTGACGCAACCACAACCTGGACGTTTTATCATAAAGAATGTTGACCATTTAGCATTTGGTACATATCAATGCGATCTAGATTATAATGAAAATCAACTACCAACAAAATTAGCAAGCAAGTCATTAATTAGAGTCTGGATGGATGACAATCATGAAATACGTACCGAAAAAATTGGCGATAAAACTCCCAATACGGGGGCATTCACTAAACAGGGCGTATCAACCATTGCGATGACATTGTTTATAATACTCATCAATAAAGTGTTAAGCATGTAATATTATTTATTTATGTATTTTTTGTAAACTAATTCATTTTCATGCCACTCATAAATGTTGTAAAACTAGATTTATATCATATAAATTAAATTGTTTTTATAAAACAAATTAAAACAAAGAATTCATTAATTTTATTAATGACAATTTTATTTTAAAATGACAAAAAAAAATTTATTCATAACATGCATGTTAGCTAAGGGATCGTACAATGATTATTAATTTATCTTCATTTATTAACATGGTTTTAGCCTCTAAGATAATTTCAATGCCCAGGGTAAAATAGGATACAAAATCTATGTTGTTTGATGTCATCAAATATTATTAATATACAAATTGTCCACCTACTTGGAAGTAAGCCAAGCAAGATTATTTGCTGTACTCGTAGAAAATTAAAGAACTAGTTGTAAGTTTTAATTGTGTTGTACTCACAACGTGTTCATATAATTTATGATATTATTACTTTCTTTTCCATTATTGAAAGGGAGGGTTGATTTCCCTAACTCGTAAGCAATCAATTTACCTTTACATTATAAAATAAACTAGGGGATATAACTAGGGAGCAAAATATTTCAGTTGCTGTTTATATAATGTACAGTGATATTCTTGGTAATGCATGTATAGCTAATAAAACATGATTGACTACGATTATGTAATAAACGTATTTTCAATACATAATACTATTATAAAAACATTTATGTAATTTACAAAAAAAAGTTAGATGTTCCTAAACTTACATGTAATATTTAAAGCTATTAATAACAATTGTATAAATTTTATTAAATTGTCATTTTATAATAACTTCAGAGAGAAATTATCGTTTAGTCTCATAAGTTTAAATGTTATACAATATTTGCGATAATATTTGCCCATAAAAAACGCATACAATATTTATTTAATACTAATACCTATACCTTAAACAACAAATACATTATGAAAGTCAGTGAACAACACTGTGTTTACGGAATTTCATGTGTATTTTGTGATGAATACGTAATAATCATTATTTGTATATTTGTTGAGCCATTACTCGGCAATAATAACCTCAAAGAGTTATACACAGGAAAATGTGATATAAAATACAATAAGTCCTATTATATGAGAAAATTATTTCATATTAAGAATGTAATAAACGTATTAAATACTGCTTATATTATTTCATTATGCACAGGGCTGTCTATGATTTAAACTGTTATTCTACCATGTTCATACTGTAGATAAAAAGTTATTCACTATACAATATCAATTAAAACAACGCATACTAACTTAATAAATAGTGATCAATGATCATCATAGGTTTAACCACTTAAATTAAATTACCATAATTAAGCAATCTAGCACCCCCTGTTTAACCCTGTATTCCACATGATTTGATTACGTTATAAATCAATAGACAATCTCAAAGCTAATAATTCTTAGACATTGATTAAAATCAGATAAAAATTACTTCATTAATGTATAAAAGTTGCCGTTTCTTCTCTTAACAACAACTTATTCATTAAAACACATTTCTATTGCAAAAACTAAACCCAAATCTTCAACAGACAATGAGATCAATATTACTGTCGTGTTTGGTAGTGATGTGCGGTATGTATGCCTACCGGTGCGCTACCATTAACTTCAGCGCTTGGCGTACGTCAACGGTGTACAAGAATTTTGACCTCAAATGCAACTATACTTTGGTCCGCAAATCCGAATTCTTCTCCAGTCTATCCATTATTGTTAACAATACTATATTTTATAATTATAACAACCAAACCATTAACAGTATGTATCATGCAATATAATATACATGTATCTTATTATTTATACTAATTATTATTTTCATTTATAATTACCTTTTAATTAATAATTATAATTATTAGTAGTAAAATCTATATTTCTAAAGTCAAGTTCTTTATAACAATCTAATTATAACAAGGGCAAACTATTCAATACTATACTAATTAATTTCAATTTTCAATAGTATTATGATAACTTAATTAACATAATTAATGTCTTACTTTCATAATATAGACCCGACTTTTTATAAAATCAAAGGCATCGATAAGATCGTGAAGAGGACTCCCGGCTATATCTCCATTAATAACGCCAACAAAACCACATCCGGTCTCTACAGGTGTCAAGTGAACTACAGTGGGGGCAGAAGTATTGTCTCAAATCAATACAATATTACAATCACTAATTAATATTGTTTGCCCACTAAATATACTATTTTAATGCTGTATCTCTAGTCAAACACTGAATTAATTAATGTTATGAAATAAAATTTATTTATTGAATAAATGAATAAATCGCACATCAATTAAAATTGTATCTTATTTTTATAAAATAATGGTCATAGCTTAATTATCAAATTAATAAATGAGAGAGAGAGAGAGAGAGAGAGAGAGAATACTTATTTTAAATATTTAATGACATTTACCTGTATTTCCGAGAAACACGCATAATTTGATTTACTGTATAATGCATTTGCTTTCACCATAGCTTTAGGGTTACTGTATAACTAACTATAAAACTTAATATACAATACCAATAAAAATTATTAGACAACGCATATATTTATACGTAAGTATATTAATAATCAACATTTGATTGACCATGTACAAGTTATTATATATTTTCTTATATCAGTACTATCAGTACTTATCATAAGAGTTAGTAAGTGTTGTAGAATTCAGTACAACTTATTATGCAATCAGATTATTGTTAAAATATTTAAAAACCATATTATGGTATTTTTCTTAAGTTCATACCAATAAAAAATTTAATATAAATTAATAAAATATAGACATTTAAGGATACTATTTATGTAAAAGCAAAATAAAAAACAACTTAATCATGATTGATTTTTAATATTTGATCGTATGAATAGAAAGAACATATTGTATAAACAACTCAGAATATATATACAGTAGAAGTAAATGTATATTTAGCTTTATTCTATGATTTAATACATTATAAAAACACGTTGAAAACACATTAAAATAGACAATTCAATGATATTTTTAATACCAAATTATTTAATTGTATAATAATTATATAATAGTTTACCTGTCTAAATGTTACAATACAAGTCCGCATAGCCTTGAAGTCTATACGCACTCGTATTCACTACACAAACTCAATACAATGTACGACAAAACAGACTTGTTTTTCATACAAAACTTTATTGTATTTATACTTATTGTAACCATATCTTAGAGACTGTCAAAACTACTCATAAAATACATGAATTAAATTCCCAAATATTTGTTTACCCGATGAATAAATTCAATGTTAACCCTATGGATACAAATCAAACCAATAAATTCTGTGTTGTGTGCGGCGATAAAGGCATAGGTAATGATATATTACTTAACAAAATAATCTTGTCTAATTAATAATAAACACTTATTGTGTTATAAAACATAGGCTTTAATTTTGATGCCCTAACGTGTGAGTCGTGTAAATGCTTTTTTCGTCGAAATGCTTTGAGAGTAAGTATTATTTAACTAACGTAAATATTAAATGAATATAACTAATTATTTACCATATATAAATACTACTGTATAACAAAAGGACCTGGATTGTAAACTCGGCGCCAATAATTGTATTATTACAGTAAATACAAGAAAAAATTGCCCGAAATGTCGAGTAGAAAAATGTTTGGCAAAAGGCATGAAAAAGGTTTGTTTTATCATAAGTTTACTAAAACTAATTTTTATAATAATTTATTTTTATGGTTTAAACATTAGTTAATTAATTAATTCCGACATATATTGTAGCTGTTAATTGCAAAGTTTACAATTAATTAAATGCACCATGTGTTTATAGACTAGTGCACTGTTAGATTGACCAATCTCTTTATGCCCTCACAACAGTCATTAAATTATTCAATTATTAAATAATGCATTTTCTAAAAATAGTGATTTAAAAACACAATTTTATATAATTATTATATTATGTATTTTCATACTGTTTTAAATTAATTATCATATCGAGAGAGAGAGAGAGAGAGAGAGAGAGAGAGAGAGAGAGCCAGACATACTTACAATTTGACATTTATGAAAGATTCAAGAAAACAGTTAACAAAATCAATAAACATTTCTCAATACACACATAACATGAATATAGCTTTACATACATTAAAACTATTTTGACACAATTGACAGAAAATACATACAAAAATGCATATAATTAAATACACAAGTCGTGTAACACAACAAATACAAAATTAATATACATGTATAAACTAATCCATTAGGATATGATAATGAACGCGGAGGCGCGCACTAAACGGCGGCTAATAATCGCACAAAACCGTCTCAAACGTAAACTGGGTTCAGAGGTCCGGTGCCATGAGTTCGAGCACCACATCAAACACGAAGACTACTACGACTACTACAACTACAGCGACGTATGGACCCAATCATCCGACTCTTCATCGCCGCAAACCCCACAACCCATTGGGTGGTCGACGACCACATCAACGGCCGATCCGTTTGACTTCAATGCCACGGATTACGAGTTATACGACATTTTTGGCGACAACTGTCCGTCAGATGACTACAAAGTGCGGACATACGAGAGGGCGTTCGCGTTGGGTATGTCTGTCATGTCTGTCGCCCGTCCGGTGACCGACTATAGCACCCAATTCAACGAGTTAGAAGGCAATAGGTTTCGGGAGCTCTCGTACGCCACCCAAATACTGGCCATCAGTTTGTCCACCGGAACCGTTCAGCCGGTGATGTCGGCCGAAGAGTTTCTCATGATTATTGACCTCCAAAAGCTGCACGACATTAAAAACGTGGTGAAAATGTGCAAAATGCTCGTCTCGTTCAAAGGCATTTGCGATCATGATAAAATTACGCTTCTTAAGTATGGCGCCCATGAAGTACACTGTATGCGATCCATCACTTACTATGATATTGCCAATGAGAGCTGGACCATAAATCTGGTTGGTCATTTTTTGTTATTTACCGTATAGTTTTTAAAAATATATTTATGTAAATAGATGTTTAATTTCTCCATAAATTGAGTTTAATTAATTAAGTAGACATTTCAGAGATAGTATAACTGTATTATAATAACAAGGTGATCAAGGGTTTTTCACTAGGGAAATTATATTTTAAAATTTACAAAGTGCCAATTAACAATTAATTCACAAATTGGAATTTATTTATAAATATAATTTATATTGATATTAAATATTTTAGCAGGAAAAAACTATTAGTTTATTAATATATTCATAAATTACCTTATTATAAAATCACAAAAGTATTGTTTTACACTTTTTATAATATCAGTTACATTGAAATAAATAATTATTTTGTAATAATTATATTAAATAATAGAACGACAAGAAAGCGATGGTTTTGAGACTGGATTTCATAAAAGATAGCGAAATATATTGCGATTTCAGGGAATATATAAACAATATATTTACCGAAATAGACTCCGACATGAATCTGCTTAACATGGTAAGATAATAACATGATACATGAATAAAACTATCACAATAATTAAACTAACATCAAATACAATTCACTATAGATGACAGCAATTGTTATATACAATCCGCACCGACCGGGACTCAAACATAAAGAAATTATTAAGCATGTTCATTAATTTAAATAATTATATAAAAACCATCTAGACTAATTATTTAAACAACTCTTGTCTCATAGACTTCAACAACACGTTTACATGTATTTACTTAAACGATATCTATTAATGAAATACCGGAGCGAATGGGAGGCCGACGACAAGTTTAACCGATTAATGAATACATTGATTGACTTGTATTATGTGGAGAGTCGTTGCAAACACAATACAATTACCGATAGGCCTGACGATACTGTGCC